GGAGGGCTTTTCCGTGCCAAAGGAAGCCCTTTTGAGAAGTCCAGGCGTCCTATTTTGTGCTGCAAAACTGGGTGGTTTTGTTTGATCCACAAAGCACTGATAACTTGGCCAAGTGGAGCTACGGAGACTCACAGCGCTGCGTAATTTGGGTAAGAGTTGCTTACTAATGGTACATCTACAAAGTCGAAAGATGTATTGCTATTACATGCACTTTTTTAGTGTGAGGCTTAAAGTGTTTAGGGTTAAATCTTAAAGCAGATGCTAGATATTTTGTGCCATTTAAAACGGTCTTAATCATGTTAAAGATGGCACAATGCCCAGACTGCAAGATGCACACTTTATGCATGTACTTTCTAATGCACCTCGTCCTATGTTTATTATTATTATTTTTAAATCTGAAAGCATTGCAGAAGTACAATAGGCATTGTTAATGCAACACCGTCTGCTGTGATCTCAATGACACCTTATAAGCCTTATTTTACTTATTCATCCCCTGCAAATTCAATCCCTGTAAATGAAACTCAGGTGACTTCATTGTGATGTAGCCGTCTGCAGCACAGATGCTCGCCTTCAAAGTCACATTTACACAAAGGCAGGCAGATACACACACACACACACACACACACACACGGGCAGCCAGACATACCTGCACACACAGACAAGCAGAAGTCTTCATTTAATGTCTCTGTTTGCAGCAGCTTCTCTAAATGGCCAGAGATTCACACACACACACACACACACACACATACACATACACATACACACACACACACACACACACACACACACACATACTTGTTTTTGTGCATTGTGGGGGTCACCTGTCACGGTGGTTACGTAATGGGGACCGCCCTTTCTGATGATGTTAGAGACATAAAAAAAATAGTTTGCCACACAAAAACACAAACTATTTCATAAAATCACTTCAGATTTTGGATATTCCACAATTTTATTTATAGACCTGACACAGTGGTCACTTGTGGGGACATTTCAGGTTTTGTGTAGAAGTGGGGTCCGCCACATACACAACCGATTTTTAGACAAAGTGGGGACCAATTCTACACACACTTTACTGGTTTTGAGACAAAGTAAGGACCAGTTCCAGATACACATTACTGGTATTGAGTCAAAGTAGGGACCAGGTCTACACACACATTACCGGTATTGAGTCAAAGTAAGGACCAGATCTACACACACATTACTGGTATTGAGTCAAAGTAAGGACCAGGTCTACACACACATTACCGGTATTGAGTCAAAGTAAGGACCAGATCTACACACACATTACCGGTATTGAGTCAAAGTAAGGACCAGGTCTACACACACATTACCGGTATTGAGTCAAAGTAAGGACCAGATCTACACACACATTACTGGTATTGAGTCAAAGTAAGGACCAGGTCTACACACACATTACCGGTATTGAGTCAAAGTAAGGACCAGATCTACACACACATTACCGGTATTGAGTCAAAGTAAGGACCAGATCTACACACACATCACTGGTTTTGAGTCAAAGTAAGGACCAGATCTACACACACATTACCGGTATTGAGTCAAAGTAAGGACCAGATCAACACACACATCACTGGTTTTGAGTCAAAGTAGGGACCAGATCTACACACACATCACTGGTTTTGAGTCAAAGTAAGGACCAGGTCTACACACACATTACCGTCTTTTAGTCAAAGTAAGGACCAGTTCTACACACACATTACCGGTTTTTAGGCAACGTGGGGATCAGATCAGCACCCTTACTAATATTAAATTTTAAACCTCCAATCAAGTAATTTGACAGTAAACTGCTTTAGAATTTTCATTTGAAGAGCAGGTCAGTTTATAAAAAATGTAATTTGAATACAGAAGGAACCTCAAGATCCAAACAGGAAATGGTCCAGAATAGATTTAATAAATGTTATATTTATTATAAATAATTTCCACAAAACCTTTAAACACAAAAAACAGTAAACACAAAATCCATGAAACTCTCTTGCATGTCTAAAAGCAGTTCTCATTGGGTATAACAAGCTTCCACATAACTCTTCCATGTCTGTATACACATTTAGTTAAGTGCAATAGCAAATAATATTAAACGGTTAGTTCACCTCAAAATGAAGATTCTGTTATTAATTCCTCTCCTTCGTATTGTTTCAATCCCTTGCTGTCTATGGAGGATGAGGAGTTCTTGCACTTTATCTAAGTTATCTTCCTTTGAGTCTGAAGATGAATGAATGTCTCAGGGGATTAGAGTGAGATGAGGGCAAGTAATTAATAATATAATGTACATTTTTGGGTAAACTCATAAAATCCACCAGTATGTTCTATTTCTGTTTCTGTCATATTTTAACTATTTGAAAAAAAAAAAAACATTAAAAATATTTAAAAATATATTTATAAAGAACTGAACCCCACAAATGCACAGAGACCTTCATCATATAACCAAGCAACCAAAACTCCAAATAGACATCATTTGTTAAGCATTAACTCTACATTAATAGTAAGCAGTTTATAAACACAGCTAGATGCTCTATTGATGACTTATAAGCATGTGTAATGTGCTCAATTTTTGTGTTTTCATACTTTGTTTATAATTCATTTTTCATTACTAAATGAAGTATTGCATTATTTACAAACTGTCTAAGAATAATTGGTGTTTTTTAAGATAATTAAGAATGAGTAAATAAATGATTAAAAAACTATATAAATGAACATTTATACATTTACTATTCAGGCATATAATCAGGGCTAAAAAAAAAAGAAAAAAAAAAGAAAATCCAATCGGTTCACTCTGAGCAGAATTTATATTTTTTCGGTTCTGTTCTTGCGTTCCTTAATAGACAAAATATTCCGAAAACAGTTTTCTAGAAAAAAAAAAAAAAAAAACCTTTATTTAATTACAAAGTATTGCAGGGCTCTAGAGTGCTCTGTTTTTTAATGGTGCAACTAAAAAATCTATACGAGGGGTAAGATTAAATGAATTTTCAATAAGTATCATTAAAGATAAATTTATAATATGAACTTGCTTTTGGTTATTGATTGACACGCTGTTTAAAGGCGCTACACACAGCCCCACTCCTTGGTATCGAGCGCAGGCCCGGCGCTACATTTAGATGTTGTATAATATGAAATAGCAGTAAAAATTATGAAAATTGTTATGAAATAGTTTTTCAGTTATGTAGCCGAATAAAAATATTTAGTACACTGCACAGTGCAATTATTATTTAAATTTATTATATCCATTATTATTAATATTAGTAAAATCTTTTTAAAAAAATTACTTTAGGCTATACTGCTATTTGCTCATGCAAAATTAAACACCAGAAAATATATCGTAGGCCTATATTAAGAGCTAAATTACAGTTAGCATCATAATTAGTTCAATTATGTGCTGTAGGCTATTGATTGACCAACACCCCCTGTATACAGTTTACCCACTGCAGGTCTACAGTTCTGATGTGTATTTTGAATTACTTGTTTTAAATGACAGTAAGACATGCTATATTTAGTTTTTATAGTAAAATATACATTATAATCCAGTACAAAGTAAAATAATATTTATTAGTGGCCTATTGGCAGCGTATAGCCGTTAAGCTTATAGTCTAAGCATGTAATTTTATTATTATTAACATAAATTACAAACTAGCATCCTTATGATTTTATTTCGTTTCTGTATATTTTTATCAAACGAAAAATGCAATGATTTATACTTTGGTTTTAATTTTATTAGAAATTTAATAGCCGTTTAGGCAACACTACTTCTACATGTCATTGGCTCTGATTGCGTTTTTTACAGATAACCTATTTACAAAGATTTTTATTAAACAAGTGCCCTACCACAAGATATTTTTGTAGGTGTAAAAATCTAAAAAGTATCATTATCATATTCTTGCCTTATTCATCTTTAATATAAATATAAAATTTAACACATTCATTGATTAAACTAGGGATGCTAACGATTACTCGATTGATTTATTGTCGGTAACCCTTTAAAACCGATAGACCTTATCGATGACCGATTAAGCATGGGCATTTAATAAGTTATGCTTTGCTCTTTGAGATGCGTCCACGATTTCACACATTACATAATCAAGTGTGCGCAGTTTAGGCTACGTTACCCTATGGAGTCGTGCACTCTCTTGACTTTGCATATTGGTTATGCACATATTGGTCATACCTATTATGCTCAGATCTCGTTTATCCGCTGGTGCTGCCATTAATCCGCTGGTCAAGTAATCAAAAAGTAGGCTACATGACGTTTAATTATGGGCAGGTTATTAAGACCAAACATTGGTTGTGCAAACTGTATTACGTTCTCTAAAATTTTAAAGTGTTTTAAGCTACATTATCTTTTATAGACTGGCATAGGCCTAAATACGCATCACGGCCAGACATTTATAGTTTATATAAAAACGAGCGTCACCGTCGCATTTGTTCACATGCTTTAAATTAATGCTTTTTGTCTCCCAAATTCATATAATAAAAAGAACAATAAAATAACATTATTAACCGTTTAACTGTAAACATTTCTGTTCAGAACGATTAAAGTTGATCTTTTTTTTCGGTTTTCGTTTCTGTTCTTGAAAAATGTCATTTGATTCTGTTTTTCGTTTCCGTTCCTTGAACCGGTTTGGAGCCCTGCATATAATACGTTTTTCTGCATGTTAAATAATGCTTTATTAACTCAACTTCATGTAGTTTTGAGATCTAATCTAAAGTGAGGAATATTGATGCTTTATAAATCCCTTATAAATGACAATTAAAAGCTCAGAATCATTCATTTATTTTCATTTTGGTTTTCTCTCTTTATTAATTCGGGGTCGCAACAGCGGATTGAACCTCTAACTTATCCAGCACGTTTTTATGCAGCGGATGCCCTTCCAGCTGCAACCCATCCCTGGGACACATCCATACACATACACACTCATTCACGCTTATTTACTACGGACCATTTTAGGCTACCCAATTCACCTGTACCGCATGTAGGAGCACCTGGAGGAAACCCACACCAACACAGGGAGAACATGAAAACTTTACACAGAAATGCCAACTGACCCAGCCAGGGCTCGAACCAGCGACCTTCTTGCTGTGAGGTGACAGCACTACCTACTGTGTATCAAATAAACAATAAGTATTTGCAATTGTACCTAAA